AGAGCCTCAATTTGTTAGGGTGTAGACGTGAAATTGTTAATAATCTCCCCCCAACACACACACACACACACACACACACACACACACACACAGAGTCAGCTGTGCTCTGTTGAAATCCCTTTCCTGCTGGGTGACAGGGATCTTAGTGACATTGTGGCTGCATCCCACAACTCCGCTGTCACTTTCTCATCTATGAGGACTGTCTCATTTCTGTAATCAAGACGTGTTCCTGTTTGTCTCTTCTGCCGTTCCCACTTCTGCCCAGACAAGAGCAGTGACTGTCCCTTCCACCCCGACAAGGCCACAGTGGAGGGGAGCATCCGGCTCTAGACGCGCCTCCTATCCCTCTTCTAGTCTCTCAGTCACCGGGGGGACTTGGAAGCAACTCTCACACGTCCTCTCCTGGGTGGATTGTCATTGCTTCCCTGGCTCCTCCTCTCCCTCCTCTTTGCCTTGGTGACTGTGTCGTGGACAGCCTGTGCATTCTATCAAGCCCTAGACAGACGCCCTCGGGGTGGGATACCGGCTTGTCCACTTGAGCCCAGCCACCTCACACAACTCTCTCTCCCCCCTGCCATCTGTCTCCTATTTCTCTTCCCCAACTCAGGCAGCTTAGTATACAAGGGGATCTACAGACTAAGCAGATGCCCCCCTGGGGGATGGCATGCTTGTCTCTCCTTACAAGCAATTCTCTTATGCTATCAGGGAGGAAAGGCACCCCGCCCCACCCCTCGTCTCCTGTGAAGGGGGAGCAAGCAGCCTCTACCACAAACACTGCCCTCCGCACATGGCAACTGGCCGCTCCATCCGCTGCTCCTCTTCCAGTCACTGTGGGAGGTGGTGGTGGCTGATGAGAGAAGAGCCATCAGCCCTGCAGGAGGGAGATGGTACTTGCTGCTGACCACCCACTGACAACTCTCTGAATGCAGAAGGCAGGGTCCCCAGTGCCTTTTGTACTCAGCTTTGGGTGTTAGCTGCAATTCCAGAACAGGAGGAAGAGTCCCACACAATATCCTGTTATGCTGGTGTAGAACTCTCCTCCCTCCCAGATCCCAGCTGAATTGATCAAAAGACTAGGAAAGAAGGGAAGGCCTGTTGGCCTGGACTGAAAGCCAGAGAAGGTGCATTCTCGTGCCAGGAAAGCTGGGGATCGCTGTAAAATGTGCAAGACACAGAAGAAAAGAAGACCCCAAGGGCTGATTCACAACTCCAGTGTTTGAGAAAGCAAAACTGTATCATGAGAAGTAGAAGAGGTCCTGGCAGAATGCCACTGACCCCGAACTGGGGCGGGACATGGGGCTTGCAGGGCATCTTTGGAAAACCCTTGCCATGCTACCAACTGCCTTGGAAAACAGCTGGAGTGGGGGAAAGAACGGGACATTTGCACACAAACACACACACAAACCCTGAAGCCAGCTCGGCCACTGGCTGGTGACTCTGGTGACAAGTGGGGAGGCATGTCACATGTGGCTTGTGTTCATAGCCAACCGGTGATGAGAAACTGCATTAGCCAGTCCTAAAATATGACAAGACAGCTGGAGCAACATCCAGGCGAAGGGTGACCTAAAGATAATCCATTTCCTTCTCTTTGTTTGGGGGAAAATAATAAGATTTTATAAAACATTCATTTTTAGCTAGATGTGGTGGCGCCTGCCTAGAATTCCAGCCACTTGGAAGGCTGAGGCCAGAGGATCACTCAGGGTCAAGAGACTGAGACCAGCCCAGGCAATATAGTGGGACCCAGTCTCTAAATGAATATATTTTTAAAAAATAAAAATTTTTAAAGTTTAAAGCACTCATTTTTAAAGTAGGAGTACACAGAAAAGCAAACACACACCCCCACACACAAACCCACATGCACACACATACACTTGGAAATACACAGAGCCTTTGAAAAGACTCTGCATGAGGCAAAGAAGAGAATGTGGTTCTAAAAGGGCAGAGAAAAATAATCCCTTTGAAAAGATTTATCACATAAACATAAATAACTTGCAGGCCACATCTGCTCTGTACTCAACTCATTTAATTAAAGTGTGCGCTCTAAGAAATGAGAGTTGAAAGATAAGATGGAAAGAATGAAATGAGAAGGCTGCTGGCTGAGAGGCAGGTGGAAATCAAAAACAAACCAGAGGAGAGAAAGAAAGGCTGCAAAGAAACTAAAAATGCCGCAGAATTTTAATTTCCATCAAGATGGTAAAGAACAGAATTGGAACTACAGAACATTGAATCTGTAAATGTGAAGGACAGATAGGAGAAGTTCTCTGAGATTGCAGGGGAAAAGCTCAACAGGATGAAAAACAAAGAGAGAACATGATAGGTATCTGGGCTTCAAGAAGACACTGAACAGGCCGGGCGCAGTGGCTCACACCTGTAATCTCAGCACCTCGGGATTCCGAGGCGGGCAGATCACGAGGTCAGGAGATCGAGACCATCCTGGCCAACATGGTGAAACACCGTCTCTACTAAAAATACAAAAATTAGCCAGGCATGGTGGCGGGCGCCTGTAATCCCAGCTACTCAGGAGGCTGAGGCAGGAGAATCGCTTGAACCAGGAGGCGGAGGTTGCAGTGAGCCGAGGTCACGACACTGCACTCCAGCCTGACAACAGAGCAAGACTCCGTCTCAAAAAAAGAAAAAAAAAAAAACACTAACCAAATGAAACAAAAGCAAGAATCACAGGAGAAAAATATGCCTGAGCTGATGAGAAGCCTGAGCTTATACATTTAAAAGGTTCCTCCTTAAGTCAAGTTAACAAAAAGAATTGAACACTTGGAATAAATTATTATTATAAAAATAATAAAATAATAAAAATAATAAATATAATAATAAAAAGAATTGAACACTTGGAAATGCCATGCAGAATTTCTGAATTGCAAGGGTAAAGAAAGAATTCTGTCAGCACCTATGCAGAGAGAAATATGGAGAAATATCTACAACATTAATTTTTGTTGCTGTTGTTGAGACAGGGTCTCACTCTGTCACCCAGGCTGGAGTGCAGTGGTGTGATCACAGCTCACTACAGCCTCAACCTCCTAGGCTCAAGCGATCCTCCTGCCCCAGCCTCCCAAGTAGCTTGGGATCACAGGCACGCATCACTATGCCTAGGTAATTTTTTTGATTTTTTGTAGATATGGTAGTCTCACTGTGTTGCCTAAGCTGGCTTGAACTCATGGGCTCAAGTGATCCTCACGTGTCGGTCTCCCAAAGTACTGGGTTTGCAGGTGTGAGCCACAACACCCAGCCCAACCTTGCTTAAAGTGTGTAATTGGAAGACAGAGTCCATGGAATTTGGTTAACTATGCTGGGGAAAGAAGTTTCCATCATAAAATAAGCTTGGGAAATGCTGAATTAAACAAAACAAGATAAACCCTATGCTGAGGCTTTCTCAGGGCTTTTAATGTGTTCATGCACGTTGTTAAACCAGCAATATTAGCAAGCGCAGTTTTCCAAACTTATTTGACTACGAAATCCTTTGCCGTAGACTACGTGGTAAGACTGGTGTGCAAGAGAACACATTTTGGGAATCACTCTTCTATAGAATTTTGAGACATCAGTTGTGACCTCACATTTTAACAACTTGCCTGGTGCATTCATGCATGAAGGCAACAGAAAAAGACTTTCCTACATGTCAAAACTTAGGACACAGGCCATGCATGGTTCTACTTTTCATGGGGAAAAAAATACTCAAGAGATGCACTCTTTCCAAGTCAGCAAGAGTCAAAATAATCAAAATAATAGTGAGTGAAAAAACAAGTCCTGGGCTACAGTTCTCAACGTTGGCCCAAATTAATTCTCTAAATTTAAAAAAAAAAAAAAATCCAGCCTGGGCAACATGGCAAAATCCCATCTCTACAAAAATTAAAAAATTAGCCAGGCACGGTGGCACAAGCCTGTAGTCCCAGCTACTCAGGAGGTGGGTGGATCGACTGAGCCCAAGAGGTCCAGGCTGCAGTGAGCCGTGATAGCGCCGCAGCACTCCAGACTGGGCAACAGAGCAAGACCCTGTCTCAAACAAAACAAAACAGAAACAAACAAACAAACAAAACAAATCAACACAGAGAAATTGTATAAAAGCCCTGGAAGTGAATATTAAAAACATCTTAAACACATGGTTATGCACGTATCAGTCAGGAGACAGAAATCACACCAGGGCCACTTCCTTCCCTGCCCAGCCCGGAGCCCCACAAACCGCATTCATCACCCGGGATCCCTTGTCCTCCAGCCCCTTGCTGGAGGTATGGGCCACAGGGGGTATGGGCAAGGGTGTGGAAGGCGGGAGGTGAGAAGGGCTGGTGTGTCTCATCTGTGCCTTGCCTCTTTTCATGCCCTGTCTCTGGCAGGGCCTTTGTTCCTCCAAAGCTCAGCTCTTGCCTGCACCTCTTCTCCAAGGTCCCAGCTCTCCCTGGGCTCCAGTCACAGAGGTTCCTCCCATTGTCCCTGACGCCGTAAGGATGGTAACATTCACCATAATGTCTAGTCTCTGGGTACCTCATCATCTCTTGTTTGTTCCCTAACCTTAACCACATTTCCTTTTTGTTTGTTTGTTTGAGACAGAGTCTGACTCTGTCACCCAGGCTGGAGTGCAGTGGCGCCATCTTGCTTCACTGCAACCTCTGCCTCTCGGGTTCAAATGACTTTCCTGCCTCAACCTCCTGAGTAGCTGGGACTACAGGCATGTGCCACCATGCCCGGCTAATTTTTTGTATTTTTAGTAGAGATGGGTTTTGCCATGTTGGCCAGGAGGTCTCAAACTCCTGACCTCAAATGATCCACCCACCTCAAGTGCTGAGTTACAGGCATAAGCCATCACAACCAGCCCCCTTATCCAGATTTCTATAAGCAGTCTCTTCATTAAAGTCTCTTTAGTTAAACCATCTTGAGTGAGCGTTTCTTGCCAGGACCTTAACTCAAACTCTTCTCAATTCTTTTCGTAAAGCCAGAATGCCACAAAGAGAGACAGAATGAATGAGTCATACACTCATACACCAGCCTCATTTATACAGATGTAGAGTCCTCATGAAAATTTAATCAGATCAAGTCCAATGTATGTCAACAATGTATTAAAAGAATACACCATGAGCAAACATTCCTGGAATGCATGGATAACTCTATATTAGAATGGCAGTGAGCTGATTTGCTACAGCAATAGGTCAAAGGAGAAAAAGATCATTTTACATACCGAATAGATGTTTGGTCAATTGCGACATCCATTTCCGATTTTCTTTTTAAAAGCTCAAGTAAATGGGAAATCAAAATATACTTACTTCACATGATAAATAAATCTCAAACCAACAGCCAAAATCAAGAGTAAAATACAAGTAGCATTCCATCAAATCTGAGAACAAGATGAAGAGTTCTAATAGCTTGTTATTTAACATTATTCTAAAGATCTTAGCTAATGCAATTAGGTATAAAACATCAAAAAGAGGGAAACAAATTATAATTACTTACAAATATGATTATCCTACCATAAAAAAACACAAAAATACAAACTTTTTTTTTTTCTTTTCTTTTTTTTTGAGACAGAGTTTCACTCTTGTTACCCAGGCTGGAGTGCAATGGCGCAATCTTGGCTCACCGCAACCTCTGCCTCCCGGGTTCAGGTAATTCTCCTGCCCCAGCCTCCTGAGTAGCTGGGATTACAGGCACGCGCCACCATGCCCAGCTAATTTTTTTGTATTTTTAGTAGAGACGGGGTTTCACCATGTTGACCAGGATGGTCTCGATCTCTTGACCTCGTGATCCACCCGCCTCGGCCTCCCACAGTGCTGGGATTACAGGCTTGAGCCACCGCGCCCGGCCTAAAAATACAAACTTATCAAAATATAAGGGTTTATATTAATGTGGCTAGTTATAAAATTTCTTTTCTTTTCTTTTTTTGAGACAAGGTCTTGTTCTGTCACCCAGGCTGGAGTGCAGTGGGGTGCTTTTGGCTCACTGCAATCTCTGCCTCCTGGGCTCAAGCGATTCTTCCACCTCAGCCTCCCAAGTAGCTGGGACTACAGGTGCTCACACCACCATGCCCAGCTAATTTTTGTATTTTTAGTAGGGACAGGGTTTTGCCACGTTGCCCAGGCTGTTCTTGAACTCCTGACCTCAGGCGATCCACCCACCTCTGCCTCCCAAAGTGCTGGGATTACAGGTGTGAGACATTGTGCCCAGCCTAAAATAACTTCTTCATTTCCTAATAAACTGTTAGAAAATATGATACAAAAAGGGGCGGGCTATATTAGTTATCTTTGCTATGTAACAAATTAATCCAAAACTGAGTGGCTTAAAACAACATTTATTATCTCAAGTTTCTGTAAGTCAGGAATCCACCAGGTGTGGTTTAGCCAAGTCCTCTGACTCAACATCTCTTACAAGGGCAAAATTAAGGGGTCAGCAAAGGCTCTGGTGTCATCCGAAGGTTCAACTGGGGAAGGATTTGCTTCTAAGTTTCCTCACATGGCTGTTAGCAGCCTGTGGTTCCTCACCAATTTTTGGGCTGTGGGCCTCAGCTCCTGGCTTGCTGTTGGCAAGCTGCCACCCTCGGTTCTCCACCACATGCATTTCCCATAAGCTGGCTCACAACACAGCAGCTGCTTCATGAGTGCATGCAAGAAGAGGGTCAGAGAGACAAAGTTACAGCAAAATAGAAATTAGCCTCTTACAACCTAATCTCAGAAGTAACAACCCATCATTTTCTTTGTTTTGCTATATTCTATTTATGAGCAAGTCACTAGATCCAGCCCATACACAAAGGAAAGGGATCCTACAAGGGGGTAACTACCAGAAGCTAAGGATCACTGGGAGCCATTTCGGAAGCTGCCTGCCACAGACGTCACTGCTATATTTTATGAAAATAAGCAGCAAACACACTACATTCATCTATAAACTAAAGCTTTCCTAAAGAACTATAATAAAAAAGACCTTAATGACAGAAAGATATGCCATGTCCCTGGACAGAGATACTCAACAGTGCAAAAAAGTTGATTATCACTAAGTTAATCTACGAAACAAAGTCAGTTGCAGTGCCCAGTGAGATTTTTGTTTGCTGGTTTATCTTGGCAGAAAAAAAAGTCTAGAATTTATCTTAAAGAATATATAAATGACCACAAAGAACACTTCAAAAGAAAAAAAATGGGCCAGACGTGGTGACTCAAGCCTATAATCCCAGCACTTTGGGAGGCTGAGGTGGATGGATCACTTGAGGCCAGGAGTTCAAGACCAGCCTGGCCAACATGGTGAAACCATGTCTCTACTAAAAATACAAGAATTAGCCAGGCGTGGTGGCATACATCTGTACTCCCAGCTATTCGGGAGGCTGAGGCGGGAGACTCACTTAAACCAGGGAGGCAGAGGCTGCAGTGAGCCGAGATAGCACCACTGCATTCCAGCCTGGGTGACAGAGTGAGACCCTGTCTCAAAAAAATTAAAAATAAAACAAATGGAACTTGTCCTCTCAGTCATTAACTCTTATTAAAAAGTTACAATTATTAAAATAGGGCAACAAACACCAATGTAAGAATGATGTGATAGGCCAATGGAACAGAATGGTAAACCCTGTCAAACACACAAAAATATTTGGTGTATGATAAAATGGCCTTTCAGAGCACTGGGAAATGATCAATTTGTTTATAATTCATTTGGGGATAGCTGCTTAATTTGCTTTAAAGTTATGTTCTTACCTCTTACCACACATGAAGATAAAGAGTTTAATGTAAAAAAGTAAAATAAAGTCATAAAGTCACAGAAGAACATTTACTTTCTTTTTTATATATATATATATTTTTTAATAATAGAGACGGGGTTTTACCATGTTGGCCAGGATGGTCTCGATCTCCTGACTTCGTGATCCACCCGCCTCGGCCTCCCAAAGTGCTGGGATTACAGGCGTTAGCCACCGCGCCCGGCCATTTAATTGAAAATTTATATGTTCCCGGTGAAGGCAAAAGTCATGCAACGATAGAGTCCAAGACCATAAAGAAAAGATTAATAATCTGACAGCTTAAAAATGAAGCATCAAGAAAAGTATTTTAGAAATTGATGGAAATGACAAATTAGTCGCACAATATGTGACAAAGAGAGATATATGAAAAGAAGCTAACTATACCACATCTTATAAACCAATACTAAAAGATGAACATTGCAATAGAAAATAGTCAAAGAATATGAGCAGAAAATTTACCATTCATTCACTCAACAAATATTTATCGAGCACCTCTTCTGTGCCAGACAAGTTTACACATGGGACACAGCAGTGAAAAAGACAAAGGTCCCTGCCCTCAAGGAGCTTACATTCTACTGGAGAGAGGCAAACAAACAAATAAGTAAAACATGAAGTATTTTAGAAGGTGATAAGTACTATCAGAAAAAAAAGAAAGAAGAGTGAAGTAAGGCCATCAGGAGTGAGGTATAGGGAACTCAGGGGCTGGTGGCGCCTCATGAGGAAGGAGACATTTGAGCAAAGCTTTGAACAAGTTCAGGGAGTTGACTATGAAGAGTAGGGGAAATGGCCATAGTGTGGCGGGAGAGCAGGAGGAGGCCAAGGTGGCTGGAACAGAAAGAGCAAGGGACCAAATCGTGAGGACTTGGAAGGCCTTGAACAGGACTTTGGCTTTTAACCTGAGAACCACGGCAGAGCAATGAGTGAAATTTTGATGTCTCAAAAGGATCATTCTGGCTCCCGTCTTGAGAACAGACTTCTGGGGTACAAAGGTAGGAGCAAGTAGACCATTTAGGAGAGCGACAAACAGAAGGCAACATGTTCACTCTCACAGGTAACCAAAAAAATGCAACCAAAAAATGTGTACGCTTGTTTTTAACCTATCCAATTTTTAATATTCTTTTTGAAAACAGTGTCCAGTATCAGAAAGGGTGAGGGCAGCTCAGGTAGGTAAATGGGAACCACCTTTCTGGGAGCACATGGGTATTTTTTGTGCCAAAGCCTTAAAAACACTCTAACCCTTTCACCACAAATCCAACTTCTGATAAATTAATCTAAGAGTCTACAAATCGCTGATACTTACTGAGTGCTTGCTCTCAGCTAAACCCAGGCTCTGAACTAAACCCACTCCATGTTACCCCATTTAAATTCTTACTATTATTCCGTTTTACAGAAAGAAAAAAAGGCATGCTGGGTCACAGAGTTCACAAACGAGAGCTAGAACCAAACCCGGGCACTGTGACCTGCTGTACAGCAGAGGCAGACATGAAGATTTCTTCAAGGGTGCTTATTACAGCACCATTTATAACAGCAACTTTATTTGCTATTAGAAGAAAATTAACAAAGGAGGTTATTCATTCAGTTATGATTTGTCCACATCAGTCAGTCATTAAAAATCTTGTTAAAGAAAAGTCGGGCCGGGCGCGGTGGCTCACGCCTGTAATCCCAGCACTTTGGGAGGCCGAGGCGGGTGGATCACGAGGTCAAGAGATCAAGACCATCCTGGTCAACAAGGCGAAACCCCGTCTCTACTAAAAAACTACAAAAAATTAGCTGGGCATGGTGGCGCGTGCTTGTAATCCCAGCTACTCAGGAGGCTGAGGCAGGAGAATTGCCTGAACCCAGGAGGCGGAGGTTGTGGTGAGCCAAGATTGCGCCATTGCACTCCAGCCTGGGGAAAAAGGGCGAAACACCGTCTCAAAAAAAAAAAAAAGAAAAGAAAAGTCATTTCCGATGCAGCCAGGTGCTGAGACAGGCCGAACTTTCTGGAGCTTCTCCTTGGAAGCTGCCAGCTACTGCGATGTCCTGTTTCTTGATCCAAGTGTTAACTTCAGAGGTGTGTGCCTGTTGGGATCATTCATCTAGTGGTATACTTAGGATGTGTGGACTTTTCTCTCTCTGTGTGTGTGTGTGTGTGTGTGCGCTATACTAATGTTGTTTAAAGTTATTTTTAAAAATTTAAATTGCCAGGTGTTTTTCCTCCTAGGGGGACACAAGAAGGCTGTGGAGCCCTAGTAATGTAGACTCAAGGCTGGTAGCCACCACTTGCTCCACACGGAATTGGCTCTCAACCTTCTACGGACCAAGAAAGCCTGGTCCTTCCCATACCGCAGGAAGGAAATGCCTAGGCAGGAAGAGGCTGGCCTCCTGGGCAGATAGAAATGAAGGTACTCCCCCGTCCCACACCCGCCTTTTCACTCCAAACAGGGGGTTGACATTTCCACCTCTAAGTGAAACTGGCAATCCGACCACAGGCCCAGGATTAAGGTCCAGTCCTGAAGGAGACAAGGTCCTAACAGGGGAGGGGCTGTTAGGAGCCAGCCCCCTCACCACTCCGGAACAGAGAGCGTATTTTGGGGGGTGGGGGACAAAGTCTTGACCTCCTCTTCATCTAGGCATGCAGGAGCTCCTGTGATCAACACGAACATTGAAAGGAGAACTGGGTCACGGCAGTTACGGTGACACAAGGAAATGTTCGACCACTGCTGTTATGCAAACAAAGCAGCTTGCAAAATCACACAGGCATTATGATCCTAACTGTTTTTTTAAATGAGTGGGGGGGGAGGTGGAGCCTAGAACAGTGGTTCTTCCCTAGGTTACAGAATGAATTATTTTTTCTTTTACTCTGTATTCTATTTCTTTTGTAATCTGAGACTAAACATTGTATTAAAAACAAAAAAAAAAAAAAAAAAAAAAAAAACAAAAAACAAAAACCTTAAGGGAGAGATTGCTGATATCTCATCTCTATTCTTCTTTCATCACCCTGGGGCCCTTTCCTTTCCCAGACCCCAGCTGGGTAAAGCCAGTCTCCAGTGGCCCCTGGCTAGCAGTCATCTATGCCTATCTTTTGATTATATATTTAAAAAGCGGTGGATTATTCATGAGTTTTCTGGGCAAGAGGTAGGGGGTTCCCAGAACTGAGGGCTCCCCTTCCTTTTAGCCCATATAAGGTAACTTCCAGATGTTGCCATGGCATTTGTAAACTGTCACGCACTGGT